CAGGCGTCCGACTTGTAGTTTTCGGGACCGCCTTATCAAAATATTTTCAATCTAAAGGAAACGGTTCCCGCGAAATCTTGCACTGCGTAGTTTATGTAAGAGGCGTTGGTGAGGGACGCTCTCGAAGGCCTTTTTGAACTCGATGTAGGTTGCATGCACCAGTTTGCCTCCGTAACGTGTTTTGTCCAGCGTTCTCGTGAGAAGAGCAGGTTCGTAAGGCAGGACCTGCCAGTGCGAAAGCAGTGGTAGGCATCGGAGGACGTGATTGTGCTCGGGAAACTGCACCAACGCTTTCTTTATGACGTTTTCCATGGTTTGCAACAGATGGAGGTAAGAGCCACTGACCTTTTTTTCTTCGCACACGCTTGGTTTCCACTCCTAAATAGCGAATCGATCGTTGCGGTCTTCCAATCAGAGGGTAGGCATCCAGTAGCAGATAATGCCTGGAGTAGTAAGGTTAGCGGCTTGGCCATTTCAGAAGCTAGCTCCTTCAACAGCTTGGCCAAGATTGCATCGGGGCTTGAGGAGGTCGATTCCTTCAAGTTTAGTAACTCTGTCTATTAATTATTTCTTCGGTGAAAAGGACTTAATCAATAAAAGGCATAGTATTGTCTTCATAGTTTGGGAAAAAATCGGATCTAGTCGTCACGACGGACCGGAAGAACTGAGCTAGACGGTCAGCTTTATCCTTGTCCCCTGAGATTTTAGCACTTTCGACTGTTCGGAATAATGAGATACGATCCTTGTTTCGTGTTCTCCGTCCTATATTACTGAAAAGGACTTTGGGATTAACTATGACAGGATTTAACCGATTCTATTTGAAGATCTGCCGACCTCTGACGATGAAGCTTTTGTCCCGGTTCTTCTACGATTTGTAACTATTGAGAGATTCGGACATCCTATCATTAAGGGAGCTCTTCCACAGTTTTCCCTCCTTGCTAACTTCCGTTTTTAGGGATGGAGTCAACCAGCGAAGTTTATTTGTTATTCTTCTGTGAATGATTGGGTCGTGGCTTCAGATGACGTTTTGGACTATCTCTTTGAATTGTTCCCAAGCTTCTTCAACATTATCGGAGAGTGTGGATGCCCAGTCGATGTAACAACGATCATATGTCATCTGCTCGAAATCACAACTCCCAATATTTGGTCGCAGGTCTTGTAGTTGGGCAAGCAAAGAAAATAAAGTATATTCCCACATGAGAAGTACGTGGTCACTCTGGCCTACTAAGGGTAAGCAATTCGCAATGTTTATATTCAGACAACCTAGGGAACACAAGCTCGAGGCAGTTCATGTGCTGGTCTTCAATAATTCTTGTCGGAAACGTGATGTGTTCGATGATAAGGAGGGTTTCAGTTATATTCAAGGCTGGAAGTCGAATACCCATTCAGGGCACTCGGCGGAGGCGGATCTCCAGTTGATGGCAGGCGCATTAAAGTCCCCAACAATAAGAGTATTTGATCGCGTAGCAAAGGCTTTAAGTTCATCCAGCGATAGGGCATCAGCTACAGGATCGTTTCTTGGGGGTTGATAGACCGTTAAAATATTGAAGTTTTGGGAACCCGTTGCTATTACATTCAACCATACTTCTTCCGGACAAGTGAGCTTAGCAGTTTTTTTCAGAAATATGTTTACCGTTCTTTTTGAATCTTGCTGTGCCTCCACCTTTTCGGTTGTCTCTGTCTTTGCGTAACATTTAAATTCAGCTGTTGCAAGCGCCCTATGGTCAGTCTGTTCCGACAACCATGTGTGGTGACTAACTCCACATAGGCGAGCATGTCCGAAGGCTCGCTGCCGCTAACGAGTACTTCTACACCTAAGGCGCCCTCTGCAACAGCCAATCAGGTCCCACAAAGGCTAGCCTCTCTCGGTGGCGAATAG